CTCTCTCTCTCTCTCGTTGGCATTAAAGCCTGTCATATCCCAGCATGCCGCGGGGCCCCCGGCCACAGCCCAGCGGTGTCAATTAAATTTGATTGACTGAGTAAAAGAAGCACACAAATAAGCCGAAACAACAGACACAAAAATCTATACATGACCCCCCCACACACCTCACCGCCCCCCCCGCCTGTCAAATCAGCGGCTCGTCTCTCCCAGTTTCATGGAGCCGGTGCCCCCCCACCCCCACAGCAAACAGAGTGAACCAATTAGCGGCTGTGGAGCCTCGTCCAGAGGCCCCTGGGTATCGACTCAAACTGTTGTCCAATAAATGAGGTCTAATTTATCAGCTTAACTCCCCCCACCCCCCTCTGCAGGACGGAGGAAAGAAAACAAACAGCTTGTGGTTTTTGTTTTGTGAGCCCCTTCAGCCTCCCTCACATCTCGACTTGTTGTTTTACCAATTGTCACGCGGCGGCTCGTGTTTCATATTTGCCGCCATGATGGAGGGCGGCCATTACAGCGGGCCCATTAGGCTCCGTGGGGAAGCGGCGGCGCTGCGTGGGAACCATCAAAGACCAATTTGCCCTCCAAACACCATAAATCCTGACCGCCGGTAAGTGACTGTTTTTGATGCTGCTGAAGCGCGCAGGAATAAATGCAGGCTCCGTTATGAATCGTCCATTAAACTAGCAGTGAGAACAATTCACACAACACATCCGTCTTGATCCGGGTGGCCAAAAGTGGGGTCCTGGGACCCGTAGAGGGCCTCTAACTGGCCTGCAGGGGGACAGGGAAGGAAACATCAGAGAGATGGAAGCTGATATTCTTCAGGAAAACACTGTGATGAGTTAATAACTGTCTGACCTTTGACCCCTATTACTGCTGTTTTAAAAGGCAGTTTGATGTCAGGTGGTTTGAACTCAATCAGGTTTATAACATGATGCCGTTTGTAAAGATCAAGTCAAAAACAATTTGGGTTATTTAGCCTCTCAGGCAAATAAGCCATTTTTCGTTTACCATCTTATTTATTCTTTTGTTAGTTTCAAACAAATTTTTTAGTTAGACTAAATATTTAGCCAGCAAGCTAAATAAATAAATATTGAACTTCAACTAAATATTTAGCCTAATATTAAACTTGCTAACCAAATATTTTGCTGTTAAAGATTTAGTTTGTAATCTTAATATTTACCTTGATAACTAAATAGCTGGTTACTAAATATTTAGCCTTCTAACTAAATATTAAGCTTAAATAAATATTTATTTTCCAAGCTAAATATTAATTTTTCTAACTAAATATTTAATTAGCAACCTAATGAAGTTAGACATACTTTCTACAAAAAGGGTTAGGATGAAAAATCAAAGAAATGAAAAAGTTATTAAAGGTGATCTGTTCACTTTTATTTAAAATGTTTTGCTATGAATGTGATGAAAAAAAAATCCTGTTTTTCAGTGAACTCTTAAAAATTCAAAATAAATCAGAGGAAAAACTTCCTGAAGGTTTTTGGTTGATTCCCTTCCTGCCATTGAGGCCATTTTGCTTTGGCAAAATTAAAAATTAAAAAACAAAAAATAATATTTTATAGTCAGAGTGAAAATAAAACTCAGAGAAAATCAACATGACTCCAAATTAAAGTCCAGAAATAAAAGTTTATTTCAGTTTGTGTGAAACCCTCCACACTCTGAACGCGCTGGGTAGAGAAATGAACCCGACCTCAGATCATTGACCACAGACTCCTTCATTCAACAAGGTTCAGAGTTTTACTTTTTGCCAACAGTCAGTTTGGAGTTTTTCTGCAATCATCTGAAAATGTTTTTGACAGAACCTGATCCCAAAAAAACTTTAACTTACAAAAAAACAACCAGAATCAGGAGAAATTTCTGGAAACAGACAGACATCCTCCAAAAGTGGTGCTGAGGTCATGAAGGAGCAAACTGCACAGCAGAAGCTCACAGCGACAACCTTTAACCCAGGATGTGAATGGGACAAAATGGAAAACAGAGACAGAGGCTGAACTCTGAGAAGTTACATCCCCTAGTTCTCACCAGGGGGCGCTAGATCTGTAAAAATAACCTGAAAATCCAGGCGAAGCTCACAGAAATGTGGCTGAACGTTTCAGCATTTTGAATGTAAACTAACTGGACTCACTGAAGGAGATCATTTAATAACTTTGGTGCCAAACAGAAACTTTAAAAATCAGGAATCAGACTCCTGAAGTTGTTCATCAGATTCCAGCTTCATCAAATCGAGCTGCAGAAAACATTTTCCTCTCACTTCAAACCTCATGCAGATAAAATGTAGAAGGTGCTTCTTCAAACCTCCCCGTCATCTAACGTCTACCTCATGCCAAAAATACTGCATAGATAATAAAGAAATAAAACGTGGAATATAACGTAAACGATTTAAATACTAATAAAATATATACAGTGGGTTTTTTAAAGTATTTGTTGTGCTGGTGCATGATTAAAACATTTCATTTTGAACCGTAACACTGTGGCAGAAACATAAATACTTTGTCTGTAGTGAAGTTCAGGAAACAAATATGAATCGGTTCAAACGTTTCCCAGTGAAAATTAACTAAAAACGATGGGAAGGTGAGAAAAGAAGTGAGATCTGAAGTGTTCAGACTCACATCACAAATACAGGCAGATCTGAAAAAATAGTTTGTCTATGAAAAGTTTAAAAAGGTTTAAGATTTGAGGCAAAGAACATGAGAACCTTTAAAACAAAACCGAGACGTGAAAATGAAACAAAAGTGTTTAAAATGAACAATTTGTGTCAGAAAGATTCATCCAGCCGCCTGGAATCTGGTTTTCCTCTAAATATGGTCCAGAATATCCAGCAGTGAAACTGGGAGTGTCTTTTTTTAGGTAAATTAAATGTGGGGTTCCTCAAGGCTCCGTCCTCGGGTCACTTTTATTGAACATTTCCTCCTGTATGTCGATGACTCACAGATTTATGTTCGATCTTAGACCAGGTTTACTGCCAGTTTCATTAAATCTACATATATGATCAAAAATAACTTTAGTTATTAAAATCACTTTTAAAAATTCTCTCTTTTGAAGTTAATTAAATATAACTGTCGATCCATGATCTGTTGTAGCTTATAATATTACAATATTTCAAACATAAAAACAGTTCAGTTTGTTGATATTTGCCAACATTTGAAGTTAATTTTTTATTGTTTTGTGGTAACGGTTGGATGTTTGGCTTATATTCCTTCTGTACTGTGATGCATTGTGGGTCATGTAGTTTTAAATCAAACTTATAAAAAAGGAAACAGAATTTACTATTCACCCAAATTCTTCATTTATATGATAAAATAATTGGAAATTACTTGAAAATCCAAACATATTTAAACTAAAAATGTCTAAATGGAGATTATGAAAAGTTACCATTTTTTTTTTACTTTTAAAGGCAGAAGGGAACCAGCAGACCGGATGAGACCGAAACCCAGAGAGTCAGAATCAGGGATGTGAAATTTAACAACCAGTAAATCAGCTGTAAAGGATTTCATTACAGATCTCCACAACGATTTGTTTCATGAAGAAACTGATTTAAGCTCATAATAAAAACACTATAGAAAAAGAGAAGTAAACAGACACAGCACCTCATCCAGAATCCCGACCAGCACCAGGAAACCGGATCAGCAGCCACCTGGAAGTCCTGTTGGTTTAAAAGGCACTGAAAGGTTTGGGGTCCAAATCCAGACTAAAAATCTCGATCCTCTGGTCATCCAGAACCAGAAGTCTGATCATCAGCTCTGAATTTAGACCTCTGACAACCTGAGATGTTCAGAACCAGTTCAGAACCGACTGGGTTCTTTCACTCAGAGCTGAAAACAAAAATCTGACAGTTCGGTCTGGACAGACGGATCAGAAATGAAATTCTTTGGCCAAATCTAGAACTGTTTCTGGAGGATTGGGTCAAGGATCCGACCCGTCAGGATTAACTGCTTCATAAATGAAGAACTCAAGAACATGTCACCAAGAAAGCTGCTGTTTGTGATGCTGCTTGGAAATGCTAATCAGAGAGAACAAGTTCCTGAGTCAGGCTGTTTACGGTTAGCGACGGATCGAAACATTTTCTTTGATCAATTACAACAGTTTGTTCTAATAGAGATGATTGTCACTTTAAACATCCATTCATTAACCATTCATTGCAATTTGTTCCGATTTCACTTTGGCTCCAGCTAACGGTATTAGCTCCAGCTAACGGTATTAGCTCCAGCTAACGGTATTAGCTCCAGCTAACGGTATTAGCTCCAGCTAACGGTTTTAGCTCCAGCTAATAGTATTAGCTCCAGTTCATGGTGCTAGCTAACGTTGTCAGATTTAGCTAAGGGTGTTAGCTCCATCAGTGTTGGATCTGACTGATTAGTCATGGATCCCTTTAAAGTCGGATGATTTAACTGGAAAATGATCCGTTTATTATGACCTCCAATCATTTTGTTCTCAAATTAATTATTTTTCTTTTAATTTTGTTGAAACTATGAAGCTGATCAGTTTCCATGAAAAACTACATATTTACGATCTGATTGGTTCTCATGTTCTGTGCCTCGTCTGCTTCAGGCCGGTCAGACGTTGCTGACTCGGCTCTTGCCCTTGGCTCCGCCCCCGACGGACTTCCTGCCAGGTGAGTTCTGATAGGCTGACGGTTTAACCGGACCGCCGCTACTGCTGTTGTTGTTGCTGTGGTTGGAGTTCCCGCTCAGCGTCTCCATGATGGAGCGGAACGTCCCAAACGACCTCTTGCCCTCTGAGCTGGCGGCTGCAGTCCTGTCCTTGCCCGGCGGCGCCCGGCTGGGTTCTGGCTCCTGATTGGACGAGCTCTTGTGGACCTGCTCGTCGAAGGTGACCCGGAGCTTCAGGTTCTGGGAGGTCTTCCTGCGGGACGACGGCGACTTCAGGGCGCTCTTGGGGCTGGTGGCGACCTTCTGGCCGTCGGCGGCGGGGGTTTCCGGGGTTCTGGTTTCCGTGGCGTCCGGGTCACTGGACGTGGGCGACGGCGTGTAGCCGATGCTGTCCACAGACTTTGACCCGCTGAGAGAAAAGGCCAGCTTCCTCTCAGTCGAGGAGGAGGAGGGCAGGTGCTTCCTCATTACCTGATGGAGGTGGTTGGACGCCGGCTCCTCCTCTGTGATTGGCAGGTGGGTCGGCCTATCGGGTCGCAGCGCGGCCTGGTTCCGCCCCTCCTCCGGCGGGTAGCCCTCGGAGTCGGACTCGCTCAGAGAGCGCTGCATGATCTGTTTGAGTCTGGCCAGTTTCAGCTCCCTCCTCTCCAGCAGGCCGGTCCTGTGGCCCCCGGGGGCCCCGGCGCCGGGGCCCTCTCTACCCAGGCCGGCCCCCGGCTGCAGCCTCTCTCTGACGCCGTCGCCATCTTTCCCCAGAAGCTGCCGCAGCACCGAGTCCGGAGCCACGCCCCCCTGCCGGACCAGCCAGTGTCCGTCGCCAGGCGCCGCCTCGGCCGTCAGCAGCAGCTCAGGACACGCCTCCACCAGGGGCTGATGGGAACTGGAGGCCAGGGAGGGACACACATCACACACCATCATCATCACCATCGACCAATCAGCTCCCTGACGGCTGAACATCTTGAACTCTTCACATTACAAACAAAACTTTAAAAGTTTCCACTAATGTTGAAAACACAATTTTGCATTTGTGGTTTTCTATTAAATAAGAAACGATTAAAATGACACGTGAATCAGTTTAAGGCATTAAAAACATGCCACACCATCATCATCCTCCAACCACTTCCTGTCGTCTTCTTCATGGTTTCCTCCTGTAGTAACAGCTGGTTGTTGATCAAATCGTTTCCATGTCAGTGTGTTAAAAAACCTCATCTTAGCGCCAAAACTTTTAATTAACAAAACAAGTTTTCTTAAAATTGCTGTGATTCCATTAAGCCAATTTATTTCTGAAACGGACAGTAAATAGCATTTACATGATCAATGGAAACACAGATAGAGACAAACAAACATCTGCTTCAGTGGAAATGTGAAGAACTAAAAGCTGCTAAAACCTGGTTGAGTTCAGTTTTCACACCTTTAAACTAAAACCTTCAACAGGCCCATTTTTACCTGGTGCTACAGTCCAGCCAGAAAACACACACACAGATACACACATTGAATATTTCTGTCAGGACAAGAACCATCCTGAGATGGTGTGTGTGTGCAGTGTGTGTGCAGTGTGTACAGTGAGAGTAGTGTGTGTGTACAGTGTGTACAGTTAGTGTAGTGTGTGTGTGTACAGTGTGTACAGTTAGTGTAGTGTGTGTACAGTGTGTGTAGTGTGTGTGTGCAGTGTGTGTAGTGTGTGTGTGTGCAGTGTGTGTGTGTACAGTGTGTACAGTTAGTGTAGTGTGTGTGTACAGTGTGTGTAGTGTGTGTGTGCAGTGTGTGTGTACAGTGTGTGTGCAGTGTGTGTGCAGTGTGTGTGTGTACAGTGAGTGTGTGTGGTTACCTAGGTGACCTGCTCGGCGTCCCCTCAGCCTTGCTGGGGTCCATCAGCCTCTGCAGGTGTTTCTGCAGGTTGATCCTCTCTGCTGTTTGTCTAAATGGCATCAGATGAAACAAACTCAGTTTGTTCTCAGACAGCTGAAGGTTTGGTTCTGGTCCGGCGGTCGGTTGGACCCACTCACTCGTTGAGCTGCTTGGTGAGCTTGACGACCTGCGAGGCCAGCGACATGCAGGTCTCCACCACCACCAGGTAGCGGGCGCAGGTGGTGTGTCCCTGCCGCTCGGCGCTCTGCGACGGCCGCTCCCCCTGCTGGTTCTGGATCGTCACGTTGGATCCGTACTCCACCAGAGTCTGGACTCACAGAGGCAGGAGCTCAGCTTCCACACATCAACAGGAAACCAGCGGCTTCATTCAACCAGCCGCCCAGCGTCAGGTTACCTGGATACAGGTGAGGTGTCCGTACTGCGCCGCCACGTGGACGGCCGTGTTTCCGTTCTGGTCCACTTCGTCCAGGGAGATGGCCTGTTCCTGCATGAACTGCAGCAGCCACAGCAGAACCTTCTCCTGCACAGAAACAAACCGGTTTCTTCCTGGAGGTGGAGCAACATAACACCACAGGGGGGCAGCAGCGCGCCAGGCAGCTTCATAACAGCCATGAAGAAAATGGTTCTGAGTTCTTCAGCGTGTATTTAGCTCTAACTCAGGGGTGTCAAACTCCAGTCCTCCAGCGCCGTTGTCCTGCAGTGTTTAGAGGTGCCACAGGTAAAAAACAGTGGAATGAAATGGCTTAATTACCTCCTCCCTGTGTAGATCGGTTCTCCTGAGCCTTGCTAATGACCTAATTATTCTTTTCAGGTGTGGTGCAGCAGAGGCACATCTAAAAGTTGCAGGACAGCGGCCCTTGAGGACTGGAGTTTGTCACCCCTGCTCTAACTGGACAGAACCTGGTTCTGGAGAACAAAGTGATAGTTTTGGATTTTGCTGAATGATTTTTCTGAATGACGCTGCTTTTTACATGATGACCTTGAACTGAGCACAGCGCTGCTGAAACGGCTCAGGTGGTTTTAACTGAAACGACTGATCCTGAGTTTAAACTGCATCTGCAGTTTATTAATGAGGAAAACGGCTTCAGGTGATTCAAGATTTCAGTCAAAATGTCATTTATTTCACTTTCTGACAATAAAAACTGATGAACATGAGAGCAGATTCATCGAGTATTCAGCTGCAGCTAAACAATTATTTTAGTAATTGTTTATTCTGTCAATTAATTGGGAAAAATAACTGACACATTCTGCAGAATTTCCATTGAACCACTTTCTTATTTTATACAATATCTGAAATACATAAAAATGCAAATACTGTAAATAATTTAGTTCCGCTTGTAGGTAAGATATATGCCGAAGAGTGGAAGACGGAAATTACAATTTCCTTGAGGGAAAATCCCAAAGGGATTAATAAACTTTCTATTTAATACAGTATTGGACTGATCTGGTGATTATTGGTGGATGAACTGATTAATAATTGGATAACAGGTGTTGAATATTAGGTTTTTTTTTTTTTTTACAGAATTTGATCCAGGTGATGCTAAAACTGAACCTTCAGTTCTGTATAGATTTACAGAAAAACATTTTTCATTTCAGTGCAAAATGTTTATATTTTTGGACAGTTTGGCTTCATTAAAGCTCTGAATGTTTTATTTTAGCAGATTGCACATTGTTGAGTTTATATACACCAGTTACTGATTGATTAATTATTTGAAGCAGTGAGTGCTGATGAAGCTAACTCGGCTGCAGGTGTTGCCGTGGTTACCTGTCCGTATCGAGCAGCATAGTGGATCAGACTGGGATGCTCTCTGGTGCAGCTCAGCTCGGCGATGGCCTCCGTCTCACTCACCATCCACCTCACACACTCCAGATGGCCGTTCTGAAACACACACACACACACACACACACACACAAACACACACTCTTATCACCCAGAACCGAGTTCTGCAGAGAGACACCGGCTCCTCAACCTGCAGCTCTAAACAGTTTGATCCCAACATCAACAGACCTTCACACTCTGACATGTTTTATTAACAATCAGCTGGTAGGAAATCTGTCTTCCTTCATCTAGATGAGCCAATCAGAGCAGAGAGCAGCTGCTCAGCTTCCTGTCTGGCAGCCAATCAGAGCAGCAGGGCTGAACTCTCCTCCCTCTGCCTGATTGGAGGAGCTGCTGTTAGCGTTCGCATCGTTTTATCTCGGACCTGATCTTCCTCCGAATCAGAGTTTTTACAGCCGACTTCCTGTCTGCAGAGGAAGTTAAACCAAGCTGGACGTTTTAACTGGACAGCAGAAACAAAAACACAACCTGAACCGTCGGGATGCTGATCCGGTACTTTATTCACAACAGAACCAGACGGAATAACAGTCTGAAACTTTAAATGAGCTCATTCAGATTTGATGCTGCAGGAAAAAGAAAACTTGGGTGAAAAAGCAGGAAAATACTAAAAGATTCAGCCGAGAGAACATTTAGCATCTAATTCACGTCATGTGAGCAACATGATGAGCTAGATGTGCTGGATGAAAGGAGGAAATAGAGAAACAACGTTCCTCAACGTTAAAATGCTCTGCTGATCTAAACTAAAGCAGCATCTGCTTTAGTTTCAGCAGGACGATGCAGAACCTGCATCTGGTGCTGCTGGCTTCCTGAGCTCCAGATCCAGAACATTCAGCTCAACAATTAAAGAAAAATATGGCAATGGCCTAGTCCAAGTACAGCCGTGACTGCAATGCTGTAGTGGGACGTTGGGGAGCGGGTGGCTGACCTTTACCCCCAGGCCGGCGGGGGTGAGCTGCAGGCTGTTGCGCTCGTTGAGGCCGTCCTCGCCCATCAGGGAGGTGAGGTGCTGCAGGCAGTCGGCGTGGCCCTGGGAGGCGGCGGCGTGCAGCAGGTTGTTCCCGTCCTCGTCTCTGATCAGCTCCAGGTTGTCGGCCGCCAGGTGAGGCTGCAGGAGGAAGAGGAGGAGGAAGAGGCCTTTTTATGATATTAAAGTGTGAGATCACTTTAAATTAAATGGAAACAATAAAGCAGCTCAGTGTGTGAATCACTGAACAGAGTTATTGTTTCACAGCAGCTCATCCTCAGTGCTGCAGCAGGAAACAGTTAAAACGATCAAACCCAACATATTAAACAGTTTAAAATCCTCCCAGACCTCTGACTTTACTCTCAACAGGATTATTAGTGACATTTTCCCAGATTTTTTGCTTTTGTTTAATATCTTCCATCTCTATTTTGTCACTTGATTATCAAGAGTAAAAACATTTACCAGAATTTTATTTAACTAGCATAAGCAGCTGCTGCAGGATGGAAGAATATTTTATTTGGTTAATTGGAAATATTCAGTAGATTACTCAGTGATGGGACTGAAAAACAACATGATGTCAGTGTTCACATCAGTCAATTCCGATAATTATTGATTAGTTTTTTGTTTTAATTATCTGATCTGCCAAACTGCTGACATTGTGACATTTTCTGTTTTATCCAGTTTTCACTCCATGTCTTTTATTTTTCAGCAGATATGAGGCGCAGGGGAAAACCTGGAACAGGTTGTTGCTAAGCAACCAGCTGGAGTGAGTGAGTTAGTTGATGCCACACAGCCTTTCCTCCGCCTACATCTCCCAGAATGCTGTGCGGTTCTGGATTGGAGTTGGGTGAAATAATTGAACATTCCATCAGTCATATTATTATTATGGATATTGATCACATATCTACTGTGATTGATTTATTGTCCAGCCCTGCTCCAGTCCTACAGTAATGGTTTGCAGCGGTTCTGTTTCCTCCAGATAAATTAACGTTTTTATGAAATGTGTAGAAATCGTTGCGCCTCGCTGTAATGCCTCCACCCACCAGCAGGGAGATCTGCCCCTCCCTGACGATGTTGATGATGTTCTGGTTCTTCTTCGTCTCCTCGTCCAGCTCTCCCCTCGCTCCTCCTCCTCCAGGAGTCCAGGGTTTGGAGGCGTCCGGTTTACCCACAATGCACCCTGCCAGGGGGAACGCCAGCCCCCCCGGAGGCTCCGCCCCCGACCGCTGGCTGTGGGGGTCCGGGAAGACGCGCGCCGACAGCAGCTTGTCTGGAAGCAGAACCGATCGGGTCAGAGCGTTTCCTGATGCCAGAGGGAAGTTTTCACAGCCCACCTGCGTCAGAGAAGGAGGAGAGAGAGGAGGAGCTGAGGAGGCCGGGCGGCGGCAGCTCCGCCTGGTAGCCGCCGCCGCCGGCTCCTCCCGGGGAGCGGTGCAGGTGGTGGAGGTCCGGGTCCATGGACTTGGACTTCCTGAGGTCCGACCACTTCACCGGAGACAGAACGCAGAACTGCAGGAGAGCAGAACCCAGACGGAGCTTCAGGGTCACAGCAGTCCTTTTATTAAGGAACTAAAAATAAAAACTGTTTTCCTTTTAGTGGAGCGTGAGTCGCTGCTAGAACCCGTCAGTGAAGCAGAACCAGAACCAGGCGGTTGGACTCACCGGGGTCTGGCTGCTGCTGCTGCCCAGGCTCAGAGGCTCGTTGTGGGTCAGAGTGGAGCTCTTCATCCCTCCTCCTCCTCGGTTCCTCTCCAGGGTTCCCCCGCCGGCGCCGCCCCCCGCCGCGGACCGCCTGTCGTGGGGGACCCGCGGCAGCGTGGACATCTGCTGGCTGGACTTGATGTACGGCACGTCCAGAATCTCGTCCATGTCCAGGTCGTAGTGCTCCAGCTCCCCGAACAGAGCCTGAGCGTTGCCGCCGACCTTCGCCTTCCCGTCGCACGGCGTGGAGGCGCCAGTCTGCTTCTCAGAGCTGGACTCATCCTTACCGACCTCGCTCTGCTCCAGAACCGGACCCTGGTTCTGGTTCTTCCCGTCCGAGTCCGACTCTGTGGTTTCTGGCTGGTGCTTCAGGGGGGAGACCCTCTTCACCGGTCGGAACTTGCTGTGGACCTCGGCCAGGCCCGTGGGTTTGATCCCCCCGCCGCTGTGGGAGGGAACGCCGCGGCTCCAGTTGATGGCCGGAGCTGCAGAAGAAGAAAATATTCCATCTGAAACATTCCTGAAAAAGCAGACAAACGTCCTGGATGTCTTCACTTTTTAATCCATGAAAGTTCTTTGGTTGCTGTTTTAGTTCTGTGAGTTGAGACCAAAACCCAACAAACAAACTGCCGTCAGTCTGATGGAGAACATCTGTAACTGAAACATGCCGACATTCTGCCAGGTTTCAATCAAGGAATGATTGGATGAGGAATATGGAGAACTGATCCTGCCAAAATTGTCATTTAATACAGAAATACATAAATGACTTGGTAATTAAAGTGCCTCATTTGATCACACACAGTATAAATTTAACATTTCTACTATTATGTAATTTACCTTTTCATGTTAAAGTCCATTGTTTTATTAGTTTTCTATTATATCTCAATGTTTCCCATTTTTTCATGATATTTTAATTGACTGCCACTATTTTTTTGCAAATTTAGTTTGTTAACATTCCTTCTTTGCATTTTCTTGTTTATTTAAATATTTATTTTTATTTTCCTTCTTTTCCAGACTGATTCAAAGGTCAGAGGTCAGCAAATCAACAAACAAAACAAAACAAAACAATTCCTCCAAGAATAGTTACAGAAAGTTCATTAAAAAGCTCCTCAGAAAGCTGCAGAAACATTGATCTGAACCGGTTTCCATGACCCAACCCTCCGGTCCGGTCCGGTCCGGTCCGATCCGGTCCAGTCCAGTCCAGACCAGTCCGGTCCGGTCCAGTCCAGTCCAGACCAGTCCGGTCCGGTCCAGCTGCTCACCTGGTCTGTCCTCTGCCGGGCCATCGCTCCTTCTGGACAGTTCTGGGATGTTCTTCAGTGATGTGACAGAATACTGGAAAACAAATGACAGGTTCTGATGTTATGAATCATAAACGGGTCAGAACAGAACCGAGCGTGGTTTTGGGTTTCCATACGGACCACTGAGTCATCGGAGAAGTCGATCTCATCCAGGTCCAGGTATTCAGGAGCCTCCATGTTTCCACCTCATCATCAGAATCAGAACCAGCTGCAGACAGAAGCAGAGTCACAAACCGGGCCGGACCAGAACATTCTGCTCTGCTGCCGCGATACAATCAAACAGGAAGCGGCTGCAGGAAACCCGACCAGCCCTGATGAAAACTGGGTTTCTGACCCAGACTGGGTCCGGATTTACACACAATACGGAGGAAGTTCTGGAAGTCGGGTCCAATCTCGGCAGAACTTTCCCCTCAGCAGTAAACGGACTGAAGCTCAGAGCTGAAGCCAACAAACATCAGGATAATCTGGATTAATGAGGAGCGGCGTTCCGCACGGCGCGGCCGACCTCAGACGGCCCGAACGGGTCGAACCGGCACCACAGGGGTCCGGCTACAATCCAGGACCGGTCCGGAGAGGGTCAAGAGGTCAAACAGATCCAGGAGAACCTTTAATACTGATGCTACTGGTGATGCAGATTAGGATTATCTCAGATGTAAATATTAGACATAAATAACTAAATACATCTAAATATATATATATATATATATATATATATATATATATATATATATATATATATATACACACACACATTTATTTAGATATATTAATATCTACATTAATACTGTCATATATATAAATATCTAAATACATTTTTGAGATACAAGTAAATATTTATTTAGATATTTAGAAGTAAATTATTTATCATCTAAAATATAAATGTAGGCATTTATATATAGATAATATTATAGGTACCGTATTTTCAAATAAATAAAATATCTATTCATGAAATATGTTTTCTGTACTTCAAACTTGAGATTAAAAGTGATATTTGAATCATTTCATATTTTAATCAATAAAATGTTTTCTTGCCAAAAAAAAAAGAACTGAATTGTTTTTTTACCAACATTTTCTCTCTCATATTTTTCTTTCACTAGTTTAAGTATCTGCTAACGAATGGGTCAATATCAATAACAATCAATGTCGATTGCTAAAATAATTGTTTACAAATCCTACCTAATGCAGTGCTTTGTGGCAGAAATTTTTCACATAATTACTTTTAAATCATTAATCTGATTTATGTAACCATAAACATGATGTAATACTCAAAAAGTAAATCTTACTTAAAATGTATTAATTCACAGTGGACCCACCTCAGCGCTACAGCAGAAGCTAACGTCTTCAGTCTTTCTCATTGCCACTCATTAGGGATCAGCCAATCAGAACCAAGGAAAATAAAAGACGATCCTGGATTGGCTGGTTTGTAAACATCAGCCAACAGTGAGACAAGTAGCTTTGAACCAAAGTATTTCAGATTCTAAGCTTCATTTTCTGTTATTTTAGACATGCTTTATGGGAAAAATCCACAAACAGGTGAATTTTCTGCAAATTATTTGAAGCTTTGATTCAGAAAAAACCCAGAAAGCCTGAATCAGAACCAGGCAGTTCAGGACTGATTTTTCTGTAGTAGTTAGCATGGGTGTAACGAAATCTGAAGTTCTGAGACAAACCAAACAGTCACCCGTCTTCCTGCTGCGACCGGCGACTGTACCATGTTTTTATGATTATATTTGTTTTTATAATGTAAAGCACTTTGAACTGGCTTACTACTGAAATGTGCGACACAAATAAACTTGATGGATTGATTGTTACAACAGGACAGCTACTGACTACTTATCCCTACTCCACATAACCCAACTGTTCTGTGGACCTGGAATCACATCCAGATGTTCCAGGATCGTTTTCTGATGATCCGAGCAGAACATCTGGGTCCTTCTGGACTCAACCGCTGGTTCTGTCTGGGCTCACAGTCCCAGCAGAACCTCAGCGTCAGACCTCTGCTCACAGGATGGCAGAACCGTCCAGAAAACCCGACCGGACTAGAACCTGCAGCAGCAGGAAGTCCACAGAATAAAAACTTCTGGTTCTGGTCCAGCTTCCACTGAGGCCGCAGCATGCTCAGGAAGCCGTGGAGCTGCTTTTTCCGTGGGAGGAACCGCCGAGCTGAAACCCCTAAATGCAGCTTACAGAACCGGGCCGGCCCGGATAACAACCGTTTGGGTCGGGAAGCTGAAAATAAGAGCGGAGTGAAAATGGGAGCAAACATCTGGCTGCTGTGTTTATGTGAACAGCTGATGATCCGCCCGGCTGCCGGGCCGCCAGCAGCTAAAATAAGCCCAGCAGGCCGGCGGCTCCGGACCGGTTCTGGAAGATCCACCCGGACTTTACTAGAAGAGCGTCAGAGGTTCTGCTGCTAGAACCAGAACCAGCACCAGTAACCGACCCGACTGAACGCAGCAGACCGAAGGGAACAACAGGCTGGTTCACTGAGAGAACCAGAACCAGAACCAACTGGGTCTGGTTCTGTCAGTGGAAATGTTTCCACCAGTAAAAACAGCTATAAAAAAAATCACATGAAAGGACGAATCAGAGCAAACCGACGAGATCCAAACGATCAAATGCTCAGGTCCGAGCAACCCAGAGAGGGTTTTAAAATCTGTTTTATCAAAAACCAAAAAAACAACAACAATATTTTACAAAAATAAAGAGAAAAGATCAATATTTTATGTGGGTGTCACATTCTTAACCAGGTCAAAAATTCATAACAACATGGATTTTTATGCATTATTATTTTTGGAGCAATGAGAGTTAAAAGAGAAAAAAAAAACGACCCAAAATGGCTTATCTTTTAAAAGTGAAGTAAAAATAAAATTTTTTTTTTCGCTTTTACTGCATTAAATCTTTTAAACAATCAGCAGGATTTTCTGTCTGGAGATGAATCATAATAATATCCAAACAGTTCACACAGAATTCAGTCAACTGCTTCAAGACAAGAGGAACGCCTTCAGGTTAAAGTTATTATCATAATGTCACATCACTGTTTAATGCTTTAATTTAACCAGGAGCTTTAAATCCCTGTAAAAACCCAGCGATGCAGCGCAGCACCAGAACCTGACCCAAACTGGACTGGCAGGTTCTGATTTGTAGTTTTCCTGGAGTTTCCTTCTAACTGCAGCCACAAACTCATCCGACTCAGATCTGGTTTCATTCAGCAGATAAATTTAAACAAATCTGATCATGAAAGAGGAAAAAAATCTAAGCATATATATTTTTATAAACTTACATCCAATAGAACAGAATATTTATGGGTTTTTTCTCCTAAAGAATAAAATGATATCTGGTAACTAGTAGTAAACATAATTTCAATCATTTAAATTTCGGTCCTTTAGCAACTACCTTTTAATTTTTTTTTTTTCCTGGAAAGTTTACAGATAAACTTCTGTCCATTTAATGTAAAAACTTAAAGACACCTGAACGCAACATTTAGTGATTCCAGGTTAATTTTTCCTCCAGTTTAAAACCGAGCTGGATGTTTTCAGGCAGGGATGAGAGTCAAACTGCCTCTCATTTGATGCTGGACAGTAAAGGTCTTCTGATCTGTCCTGATTGTTGCTGCCAGCTGGTTTAATCCGCTCATCCTCCAGCAGGATCAGCAGCTAAGCTACCAGGCTAATCAGCTAACAGGCTAACGGGGAAAGCTGCTGGAAAATTGGGTCGAACCGGCGGCTCGGCTGGGAAACCTGGAGCTTCCCGCTCAGGGTGTCATAGAAAGCCGTGGAAGACTGTACCGTATCGAAGTCAGGGTGGGAACCCGGAGGAATGAGCCGGTGTAGGGGCTGGAGGAGCCAGCGGAGCCGCTAGCTGATCCAGCTGTTTTTTTCCCTGCTGTCGCCTCGATGTCTTCAGGAGCACAAAGACTTTGACATATGGGCCAATCAGAGAGGAGCGCAGGACAGGAGGGCTCACTCCGACACGTTTTCACAACCACGGAGCGCTGCTTCTGTTTGAGATGCCGAAGCTGGTCCGTTAAAATATCGCATTACGAAGAATGTAAAGGAGCAAAACAACAAGAAAACAAGTACATTAAGGTTTAGAAATCAAGATTAATAAAACATAAATTACATGAGAAAAATATTTTTAAAAATAATTTTAATGAATAATGCATCATAATTGATCCTTTAGGAAATCATTCATAACAGAAGCTGTTTCATATTTGAAATAATGATTTTTATCATGAATTGTTTTTAAAGAAAATCTAATTTCTCTAAAATAAAACTAAGCAAAACAAAACAAAGATATTTCTAAAGTTGTGGATAAACATAAATTGTCACAACAATTAGTGAGTCAAAACACGGACTAATTCAATCAGTTTTAAATTACTTTCATTTTAGTTGCTCATAATTAAACACTCCAGAACGAAATCTTGATCTTTCTGTATTATTATAACATGAAGTGAACTAAAACACATATTTTGTTATCACAGTCAGTGGTGTTTTTATTTTTTGCTTAATTTTTTTTTTTTCTTTGACATGGTTAACATGGCTCACAACCCGGGGCGGCATGAGTAGGATCAGCCCGTAGACCAACAGGACTCGTTACGAAGCCACGGAGGTTGGACAGAACTCGCTATGAACCCCTGGAGGTTCACTTCTTTATTTAGAAGTCCCATCTTTCAACCCAATACCTTAGAGTGCCTGATTGGTGCATTTTTAGAAGTGTATTGCAGACGCCTCTGATCACACGTCTGAATGGATGTGGCTTCTTCTGTGGCTGGTCTGAAACCCACTGGCTGGCTTTGTGGGTTTCCTCTTCAGATGGCTGCTGGTTTTGTTGTTCCACTATGTCTCTCAGCCTTTTGTTCAGCTGTTCAATGTCAAGCTCCAAGTTGGTGTTTTTCTCCTCTAATAGGTAGTTTAACTGCTCGAAGACAGAGTTTTTCTGCAGGACGGTGTATTTCTCCTCCAAGTTGGTGTTTTCCTCCATCGTGGTGTTTTCCTCCTTTAGCGCGGCGTTTTATTTCTTCATGAGAGTGTTTGTCTTATCCAGGTGAAGAAATAGTTAATATTTGCTTTTGTTTGTTTTTCTGCCAGACCAGAAAATTAAAAATAAAAACTTTTTAAATTGATTTTTCTAATACAAACATTGTTAGATTTTCCTGCTGCCTTTACATTAAATTAAATTGAAGGTGCTGCTGGCTGAAATTTGAGCTTTATTTTTTTTCCGATATGGGTGACTCATCGTTACGATAGACGATCTTTGGCAGCCAGACAGGAGGAGGAGAGCCGTTATTTGGACCCGTTATCCCTAGAATAAAAAAACCTGGTTATAAAACCATACAGAGTACTTTAAATCATTATTCTCATCAAACTGTCCAAATTAGCATTTAATTCTCATAAAACCTTTCATCTGTCTCTTATTTAAATAAACTTTACTGATTCAATCGGCTCAGATAAGTAATTATTACATTTCAACATGACACGTTCATCCTTAACACTAAATCATTTTTACAGTTTTTTTCCCCAAATATTATTTGGTTTATTTATAGTATAATAAATAAAGCTGTTGTATACTTTTGACTTTATTAAGCGGCTAATTACTTTAATTTACTAATTTACCAGTTTTATTAGATTAATAAATATCTGCATCAGCTTTTGAGATTTAAGATTAAACCTAACTTTGTTAACTTTGTGATATTTATTTATATCTTTTCTGAGACAAAATGATGCAGCACATTGAAGTCCCAGCATCAGCAGCTTCAACGCAACACCGCCACCTAGTGACAAACGTAGAACATAACAGCGAGAAATACTTTCTTAAAGCTGAGTGACGCTGAACTTCCTCTGTCTGGACGCTAGGTGGAGACAAACTCTCTGCCAGAGTTTCCTGTGCAACCTGAGAGTTTTCTTCTTCTTTATGTTTCCGGACGGTGCGCTCCATTCTCCTCGGTTTCCTCCTGCTTGGTTAATGTTTATAGTTAAGTAGTTGTTTATAATTTATGTGTTGCCGTAATTGTTACATTTAATGGTGAGAAAGAAGGTTTTTGTTCCTGCCAAAGCATCTCAAGTCCACTGTTTTCCTCCACTGCTTGTTTCCTAATCCTTTTGTCTCTACATTACACATAATAATATTAAATGTTATTAATGCACACAACACTCGCAAAAACCTTATATTTTGAAATGTAATATTTTATAAACACACACTTTTTTCTGCAAGACCGAGTATTAGAACCATGCTAAGAGAACAATTAAATATAATTAGGAGAATGAACTTATGAAATTACCAGAGTAAAGTTGTAATATGACTGTTGTAGTTTTTCAGATGACTTTGTTAATAAAAATCAAGCCTACATGTAGTTTTCCTTCCACTTAACTTTGTGCTGCTTTGTGTTGGTCTGTGTTGGTTTGTGTTGTTTAAATATTGTTAAACAACAGTTAAACAATATTTAACTGAAGTCCTAAAAGGGGTGCGGGTTTTAATGTTTTTGTCTTTTTTTTTTCAAAATGTCTTTCTCTTTCCCAGTTTTTTTTCTGTTTTTATTTTAATTATGTGAAGCACTTTGAAATGCCTTGCTGCTGAAATGTACTATACAAATAAAATTTGATTGATTGATTGGTCTGACACAAAACACTGAAGTTTCTAGCTCCAAAGAGAATGTGAAAATGAATGTGAAAAGTTTAAAGTGTGTAAATGAGTCTGCGTCAAGAAGACGACTCCTTAAAATAACATTTTGTTAAAGCATCCAGTCACACAGGAGTTCACGTTTAAGCCAAATTTATTGAAGCAGCGATGGAAGAAGACACTGGGAGCTCCTCTGCTTACGGCCCAGCTGGTTCATGTGTTTACAGGCAAACACACACTCCACTCCTCACCCCACAGCAGAAAACACACACACGCTCACACACACACACATCCACAGAAATCTGACTTCAGCTGTTATTTAATAGAAATAAAAAGCCACAGAGGGAAAACCTGGTTTTTAGCACCAAAAGACAAAAATCTGTTCTTTGTCACGATAAAGGAAATATTAAAGTTTGAGTCAGTTTCCTGTAAAAATATCTAGAAATTATTTAAAATGATTAAATTAAACATCACATATCATGTTTTATATAAAAAGTAAGAGAAAAACATGCAAATAAAAAGTCTTTGTGTAATAAAGGAAAGTTTTTTTTTTTTTTTTTTTGCTCTTAGGAATAAGCAGATTTGAAGAAAATATTTCTGAACTGTGAGAAAACGCTCATTTTCCCTGGGATTCTTACACAGATAAAAACTAGAATGAAATAATAGTTTTATGCATTAATATTCATTTCTGCCATAAAAATGTTTTTCATACAGTCTAAATAATCAGACTCCATCAGTAAATGCAACGAATATAAAACCCAGTAAGGGAAGAAAAAGAAGAAGCAGGAAACCAGTAAGTCCAACTGTGAGGTAATACAGAACCCATATGAGGAACCAGAACAGAGTCCAGTCAGAACCGGGTCTCTGCTGTGGAAACATGTCACCTCTCTGCTTCAGGCGTTTGCTTATAAGTGAATATTTTGGGTCTCATGTAAACAAAGTGTTAACTTCATGAACTTTGACCTTTGACTTTGTCTTCAGGCTCATTTTAAGGATTCTTCTCAATACCTGCAAAAACAAACCCAGATGAGAAACAGATCATGTCTGATTACACTTTCTGAAATGTTAATAATTCACTTGTTAAGATGTTTGTATCTAAAAATAAGGAAATACTTGTTTTACTATGCTGGTGGTAAAATGTGGACTTTGAAAACAGAAAAGAACCGGCTTCGCTTCCCTTTTTAGAACCAAGTTTTAAAAAGTTTTTATTAAGAAGTCCAATTGAAAATCTTCGCTCAGCCGTTTAGGGAACCACTGATATGTGGAAGAAGGTTCTCTGGTCAGATGAGACCAGATTGAACATTTTTATCTAAAAACTGTAGCATCTGAGAAAATCTTAGATCTCAATTTGTGCTTGCAGGACGTTTCTAAGCTGAAGCTGTGCAGAGCCGAAACGTTACAGCCGAACTAAATAACCCAAATTATTGCTGCTCATTTTTGTCACAGAGAAAAAAAAACATGGTTAATTTTTCAAAGTCATTTTTTCACCCTTTTATTCTTTTATTTCTAAGTCTCACAGTTTCAAGCTTAATATTTTGCTCCAAATTATAATATTTATTTAAAAATTAGCAAGCTAATATTAACTTAGCTTGCTAAATTAATATCTAGGAAGTGACATATTAATTATCAGGCAAAATTTAGTTTGAGCTAAATCACATATGTCAAACTCAAGGCCCGCGGGCCATATGTGGCCCCCCAGCATTTTATAGGCTGATGATTGACTTAAAATAGGTTTTGAGCACGACCTTATTACAAACTACATCTCCCACAATGCATTCCGATTGTTACCAGCTAACATTACGGCTTCTCGCCACTAGAGAGCAGCAGAGTCACCTCAAGCTGCTTACTGATCTTCCCAGCGAATAAAACTGAGACATCGACAAGCTAACATCAAAACATCCAAGAAAAGAAAAATCGATTTACAAGTAAGACTGTGAATAAAGATGTGTGTGAGTTAGTGTCAGGGCGGCAGGTCGCGCTAGACTTTTTTTGTTATCCGTTATCATGTACTATTTTTATCCGTGAAATTACAATCATATTAACATCGGCTATTTAGTCGCATTTTATGCGGTTTAGTTAATATTCACCGTGAATCCAGATCCCATCACAGATTAAGCAGATAAATACATCTACATTTTTCTCGTAGTGACAAAAACCACCCCAATAACTTTTAATAAATTAAATTAAGCGACTTCACTTAAATTAGCATCACTTCACCCACTGGGGTCTGAACGCACTTCCTTCTGGTTCCCATCTGCAGAAAAATCTGCGCTAATTCATCAGTCAGTTGATCTGTTTGATCCAAACAGATCAACTGAACTCTGTGAGTGTTTTACTCTGTGCGGTCCGGATTATTTATTTATTTATTTTTTGCGTGGTTTCGCTTCTCCGAAACGGACAGATGATACGTCTGCAGCTCCTCCAGAGCGCCGCTCTCCTGGATAACTTGCACCAAGAAGGCTCCATTTGTTAAATCCGCTGGATGAGTTACTTCCAGCGGTTTCTAATTCTAAGCAGCGGCGGAGTCTCGTCCGCAGTGGTTGATCAGCGGACTGCCATGTTACAATCTGATTAACTTCTGTGTCGTCATTTATTTCCTCAAGATAAACTGCCGGCTCCTCAAATGGATTAACACAACGTTCTCTTTAGTTTTCTCTGGTCTGTAATGGAGACTTGAATTTAACGCGCCATTTCAAACAAAGGTTTCGAATGCGCTTCCTAACCAGAAGCTCCAAAGAGTTGTTTAACAATATGAGGTGTTCA